GGGGGCATCTTGAAAGGGGCATAAAACTAAATAAAAGACAAGTTTTCTACAAACCAACAATTCGTCGTTTTTGTGCTGAAAAATTCCTTACATACGAACACCTAATTACACGAAGAACATAGAACACTTTCCTGGGGTATTTGAAACCAAAAATTGTCATTCCAGCCCAGTAGCCAATCAGCGACGGCCTTACAGTTGGATGACAATTTCGGTTTTTCGTGTAATTAGGTGTTCGTATTTAAGGGATTTTTCCACACAAAAACGACGAATTCGGCCAAATTTTGTTATCGTATATTGTAATATACTTCATCATTAAGGTAAAAAACAACGTCCATTTGTACTGCAATTTGTCTCTTTGTAGTTGCCAGTCATGACCATTTTCAGGCTGGACACGCCTTAACAGCTTGATTCCAGATGAGAGCCTGATATTGGACAGTGACTTGTTCTTTGGTGTGTAACATGTCATAAACATAGTGTATTGAAGCTTGTTGATATCTTTTACACCTGTCTTCGCTACTTACATAAGGCATGTGAATGCCTCCAATTCATCAAATTCATCTGTGGTAAGAGTCTGGCTCGTACCTAAGCTTGTGAGACACGCAGGGGTCCCACCCTGCTTTTAGGCACAAATAAACTTTTAGAATCACAGCCAGTGAATGCGTGAAGTGAAATCATAGTATTGCATAGCTCATTGCCAATTGCCAGGACTGCTGAGCTGATGTTAATTAACCTTCGTTTGTCTGCAACACCAGTGTTCACGATTAGTGGTATTCTAATATTCTGTGAAAACTTCATCAGCAAGAAGAAAACATCTGTATCAGGAGACCGGATTATGATGGCACTTGAATCTATGCAGTGTATTGCAATATGACAGCAGTGGAGAATGACTCTTGTGTTGGCTTCCACCTGACAAATAATATCAAGACATTTTTTAGAATCAATAGCATATCAAATGTAAATTGGTAACATTGGTGTAGTAGTGGCCTACTTGACTATATGTGCTTTAATAATGCGTATTTTCTAATTCTGGGAATGTGGATTAAGATGCTAAGTAGCTATCATCATACTGGTATACTGGAATATATATTTGTTAAACTTGGATATATTAAATTATATATAGGTTGACCCACCTGTACAGATCGCAAGTTTTGAACCTCTTCTACCTCAGTTCTATGGCCATTTTTACTACTTAGATACCAACAGTTCTCTCCGGAGACAAGCATTATCTGCCTTCTTTTCAGCTTTATCGCATATTTGTCTTGCTTATATTCTTGCAAAATCAGACAAATAAGTTGTGTTTTGTTACTGTTGTTTGAAACTGTTTGAAGTCATGTGGTACTCTAGTGAGAGGTCCATGTATGAGAAATGTGCCATGACGTTCCCTCTCTATATTCTTGATACTCTGAGTCTGGTATGTATCTGTAATAAAGTCAACACGGGTGGTATTTGGGTTCTGTGCAAATATACGCCGAGCCAACTCTTCAAAGCTTTGTGGGATTTGTGTTAGTAAGTGTAACATTGCATTTCCATCAATAATATGAACCACAGAATCTGACCTGCTTGTCACAGTATGTCCCTCTTCCAGTTTGAGAAGAAGTTATGCCTTGTCAGTTTTGTATGCTGCACCATCAGCAGCGGCTAGACCCCAAGGCACTGGGCCAAGTGTATATGCCATCACCTTTTCCATGCATAGATCATGGTTCATAGTATGAGCTGCCCAAATACATTTCCCTCTGCTACCAGTTTCTTAATCTTCTTTGTTGAACTTGTTACAGACTGTTTCACTGCCATTGATGCAAACGAATTCAACTTAAGTCTCATGATTAGTGCATTAAAAGTGACTCTCTTCTGCACTAGTCTCTCTTCTATGAATCTCTTGTAGGCGTTGGTGCCTTGTGTGTCAACTGCAAGTAAAAACTGGTCTCTGAAACTGGTCTCCCTGATGATATGCAATACAGTTTGTGCTCATCAGGTATTATGAAGGGATTGATAAAGTTTTGCAAGGCAGTGTTCAACTTCTGCACTGCAGATTCCCCTTTTACAATCTCTGATGCGGTGACATATTTGTGGTAGCTCATCTCATGCCAGCAGATACAAGTGTTCCCTATAGATAATCTGCTCATGGATGCCGAGAGTAACTCCATCTATGATAGGCTGTCAAGTTACGGCTAAATCCAATGATTCCATGACCATGCCCATGCCCACTGGCATGACGGTTATTGGTCTGTTCTATTGTTATATCAACAGCATTTCGAGAATTTGAAACACCAGATCGATTCACACTCATTCCATAATTCTCAAGAAGCTCCATAGCGCCAAGGTGTGTGTGTGCGTGCGTGCGTGCGTGCGTGCGTGCGTGCGTGCGTGCGTGCGTGCGTGCGTGCGTGCGTGCGTGCGTGCGTGTGTGTGTGTGAAAGGTAAAGAAGTACATTCAAGTACAGTTTCAAGTTTCTTGACTAAGGAAGAGAGGGCACATTTCTTGCAGGCAGGTCATATGAAGGGTGATGCCATTGGCCTTAGTAGCCCCCGGGAAACGCATATTGAACCATGCCTTATCCATGTACCCTACCCATAACTGTGGTGTGATGTCCTTTTCTCCAGCACTGGACTTGTCTTTGTATTCATCATACTTGCCCCTGACCCTATTGTGATGTTTCCTATGCATGACTCTATCAACCCACATGCACATACTGTGGATTCAACCACAACTGCCTCCAATCTACTACCCTTCAATTATTTTCCCAATGCACATATATATGCACATGCCATGTGGAATGTCCCAAGTTGAATGATGACAGCAGCTAGATCGAATGTTACAATTGTGTAAGGCTGACCAACAGCAGCAGATGCCTTCTGGGAAATATTTAGCACATGCATCACAGTCATGCGTTCAGTGATCTGGGCATTTACTTGAGGCATGTATTCCACTATTGATTCTCTTTCTTCTCTTCTCTCTCCAGTAAGAGAAATCCAACCTCCCCAACTAGGTAGTTTTTGGTCAACTGTTTTTGGTAGTGTCTTGCACAGTGCACAGTGCACAACACCCATATCATGTCAGATGATGTCTAAAACATATTCTCTTGTTTGTTGAGGTTCAGTAATTTGAACACTAAGGCTGGGTTCAACATGTTTTTTTTGAAAAAACACGACTCCATTATTTAAACTTCATCTGTCACTGATCGCTTCTTTGTCCTAGCCATGACAGGTAATTCACAATTGTCATCATTTGATTGGTCAATGACTATCTCTTGAATTACAATGAGTTTAGTGAGTCGTTCCAGCACCAGATGTTGTCTCTTCGCTGCGATCAAATTTGTCCCAACAGAAATGCAGCACATCATTACCTTGTGTTTTGATACCAGGTGGAATTGGATTATCATGATGGGATTTGATAACCACATGGATAGCAGTCAGGATTTCTAGTATAACTGAATATGACACACAGTGCCCAAATCCGTTCACCAACATCACGATGTCTGCTCTTCCTGTCAAATGCCATAATGACATTACAAGGGGTATATGCTTAGGTGTCATCCATCTAAAATGTGGGAAAATTGATTCTGGCCTCAACTTTCAAGCAATTTTTTTTTCAAAATTTTATTTGTTTACACCATGACTCTGACCTTGAATGACCAGGGTCATGGTCATAATCAACTGGGCATCATCAAAACTATATACATTGACATTTAATTCGAGTTTGTATGTTGTTTATTTACAGAGATATGTCATTTTCTTTAATTTCCTTATTTCATAAATACATTGCCATGGCTCTCACACCCACCAACAAGTTTATGGTAAACAACTTGATTAGGATAGCTGAGGGTCCAGGCTAACTAAAAAATATGGTCAATGAAAATTCCTAAGGGAGGGGTGGGAGGGGGTCTACAGTAGCCAATATACTATACCGGTGGTATTTAAAACTCTCTCTGACAATATTTGTTGTGATTGCCTTCCTAATTTAGTATTTGTCATGGTCCAGTCTGTAACCCTATAGTCAGGTTATATGGTTTTCCGGTGTCCTGTACAAACAATTAATTTCCTTTCTATCTAAGCTGATGAGCTGACGATCTCCGCAGCAACTGTATGGGATGTATTATGAGGGCACCTGTCATATGTGGAAACAAAATAAGATAAAATATATTAATAATAAACCGAATCTTCATACTGTCCTATAAGACGTGACATTTCTTAAAAACAAGCCAAAACAATGTTAGTGAGTGTTTCTATAGGCTAATACGTGACTGCTATAGGACGTCTACAGTTTGTATTACAAGAATTGAACAATATTTATATTATTTTCGAAATATGTTTTGTGATATGAAAATTGAGACACAAATACTTTTTGCCATATGTGACTCAAAATGGTTAATGTACGACACAACATATTCCAAATTAATTTGAAACACATTATATTTTGTTAAGTATGTAATAGTAATTGTATTTGTGTCTTACCTCACAGTAACGTCGTAAAAAAGTCTTAGCAACTGATATATCACTACAGTTATGTTCGTTTAAAGGAGGATATGTGGACCACCTAACATATACAACGATAACTTTATATTTTTGTCAATAATTAGGATAAGACTCAGGTGCAACGTTGCCGTGAGTTTTTAGAACAATAAAGCAAATTATGCTTGCATTGAATTAAAAAAATAGCGGTTACGAGACCTTTTTTCTTTGCATCAAACCAATTTTCAAAAGAAATGATTGAAGAGTTATAGAGAAATATTTTATTTTTTTTCTTTCTCTTTTCGTTCAATATAGTGGCAATGGTGTTAGATTTGCAGCCAAATCTTTGTGTTACTTGGACTCTAACAAGATTGTAATCTATGTACAAGGAACTACTTGACTATTATTTACAACGCTTACACGCAGTGAGACAGTAGATACGGTAAAAACAGTATAACCCTACTAAAACTGAACTCGGAGACTTTTGAATAAAATCTGATAATGATATACATTTAATAGAAATTATAGTGTTTCATTGTTTATTTAGATTACTTCTGCGAAAATGAAGTCACAACTAACTAACAAATAAGCTAACAGTTTTCTCTCTTTTATTTATTATAGATTCTGTTTATGGCAGAGACCCAGACAATCATCAGCATAGAGTGAGCTGGAAATGAATGCTGGATAAAAACAAGATAATCGTCCTTCTACTCTCAACGCATGTGTCTCCTTTGCATATATTTTTCGAAAATAGCCAAACTGTTCAAACTTACTGAATTTTGCCTCATGCACAAGGCACAAATGTGAAGTAGATTGGTATCGACGTATGTCTTCTGTTCGTCCGACAGGCTAGATTTGAATGTAATTTTGTACATAAATACTATGTTATAAACAACAGACGTGATTAACTTTTAATAAAAACCCGTGTATGCTCGTATATTTATAATTCTTTGTAAAAATACACAAATGCATTGAACAAATGCATTATTAATTTGGTAATTTGCACACTAATTAACTTTCCATATTGTTTATCCTATTAATGATTTGTTCAAATGGATTTGAACTTGATAACTTTATTGGAAATTGATATTTTTTTAATAGAAGTGAAATGCGGCAAATACTTCATGCCATATTCACTTTACCTATCACCAATTTCAGGTTATCAATTTTTGAAATTCTGTTGCTCCACAACAGACTAGACCACTAGGTCAAAGGTATTGACGCTGCAGGTCGGCGTTATTTCAACACTGATCTGACACATGTCGCGCAAGAAGTGCCGGGAGTTATTTCTTTAATGATAATTGGAACATAGAGACATTGCAGAAATGGGCTGATAATTTTACAGCTGGCCAAAAGCCAAGTTTTACAATTCACATCTGATAATACCAGTTCGACCCAAATGAGTACAAATTAGTTCATGCCAACGTCCTCGGATAAATACTAATTTCGGTACACCTTACTATGGAAACACTTATAGACAATAGAAGTCGTTTTCAACAGAATACATGTCATGGAATGGAAAAGCACTGCGGCTGTCGATACATAGATACATTTGAAGTAAGTGTCGAATCTGAAGGGTCAGATTTATTTTCTTTTTGAAGGTTTCCTTTCTAAAACGGTGTTCACTTACCTTTAACATACAGAAAAGCTGTGATTTTCAAAGTTATGCCTGAAGTGTGGTGGCGAAATTTAGTTTTCATCAATAGATTTTTCCCCGGGTTTACAGTATGATTGGAACGAAAAACGTTGCTAAACAGGGCCAGTATTATTGTGTTCTTTATTTTTTCAACGTAAGTTCCTAATCTTTTCTCTAGTGAAATTTAAATATGTGCATACCTTATATGTAACAACGTTCATTTAAATTACAACAATGTATTTCTGGCGAAAAAAATGGCGGATAAACTATACCTGAAATCGCAAAATGTCATTGTTGTACAAATGCATCTTGCCTGAATTCCGCTTCTCTTATTTTATCAATACTATATTTTTTTCAAGTTGTGTTGTGTAAGTTATGTGGTACATAAATTGTAATTCAGTTTGGCATTAATGTTTGAGAAAGATATTAATTGTTTTAAACCAGAAGTGACGTTGATTTTGAACATCATTCATATGCCGGCCGTTAGCGCCAATGCTCGATTAAGCGCCCTCCCCTCACTTTTGGAACATTTCTATTTTCGAGTTCACGTTCGGCTAAGCGTCCGACCCCTTCAAAATGTCATTAATTTGAATATCTAATTCACAGTCAGCTGGCGCACAAGTGATAATAAAATAAATGCGATATTTACTATATTATGGCCGCCATTATGAATACGACATGAAACTAAATAAAGACATAAGTTGTGAAACGCGTTTTCAAGATTCATTCAAATCAGGGAAAAATACCAATCTTTCACCGCCAAACGATCCGTTAGGGGTAATATTAAAGC